CTCTGACAAGGCAGGTGCCGCCACTCGCACTGTTCAGAAGCGCCTCCGGGGCTAACCTGGTTACCAGGAAATGGCGGTGAGCAGGCAAATTCACAAACACGGATCCACAACCACCAGGACCAGCCTATGAATCTGGGGGACCTGGGAGGACAGGTGGTATGTAAAGCTATTGGTTATATGGAATCATAACCCCAAATGTGCAAAAGATCCCGTTACGGGGACGAAGCAGAGACACCTGACCTACTTTACAAGTCTGCAACCTGTTCCCGCTGCTTGTGGTCAGGGGACCCTCCGTCCGCCTGTCCCCAATTACAGAGCCGACCCCGCCCTCCTCTCCGGTGGTCACAAGGGGGCAGGGAAAGAGGAGCTGCAGGTATGGCTCTCCCACTGCGCCATTTCCACAGGCACTGCCTTCAGGGCAGCGAAGGAGGAGCATGTCGCCCGCTCGCTCTCTGGCTTCAGCTGTGAGCACAGACGGGCGGAGAGCCCTCAGGAGCAGGTGACGGTCTGCACCCCGACACGTAAATGCGCGATGCCACACAGGCGTGTGCAGTCACGGGACACGGCCGGGAAATGCCTAATTAGACACAGCGGCAGGTCGTCCCGGACCGTGAACTTCCTGTTTGTTTAGCACAAGGTAGTCCTGTGTGACCGTGGCTGGGAAACAAGACCTCCGAGATCACACTGCGAGTGGGCGCAGGGGGCACCGAGTCCTCCCCGAGATCTCGCTTCCTTTCCGGAAGCCTCCTGCACGTCCACAAGGGAGCTGGGGACTCCTCGCCCCTCCCCACCCCACAGGCCGCAGCCCGTAAACGCCTCAGGGGCCTGCTGCCAAGGCCGTAATCACTGGGGGAATCTGGCTGAGATAAACATTCAATTAAGCAGCACCGACAATGAGGACAGCACAGCACACTGTGAGGACAGAGGGGACTCACTGGGCACGCACCTCCCGATCATGACAAGACCGAGGTTCCCGCTGTAAGTCAGTGAAGTGGCTGCGAACCCGCCTAGACTGGGCCGCCTGCGGACGGCCATCCCCGGCGCGGGGACCAATCACTGCAATCAGCCCCTCTTCCCAGAGCAGCCTCGGCTCCGGCTCCGGCTCTGGCTCCAGTCAATAGGAAGCCCCAGCCCTTCAGGAAGCTCCCGCGGTGCCGCTTTGGCAGCACGTGCGCTGAGATGGGAATGAGCGAGGCCCCTGCACACGGATGACAGGCAAATCCCGGAAGCGTTCCGTGTTAAAAAAAGAAAAGAAAAGCAGCAGCTTCCCTGCGTGGCGTGGCGTGGCGTGGCGTGGCGGCAAGAGCTCGGTGATGGCAGAGAGGCCCCCGCCCGCCGGCCACAGGGAGGGACCGAGTGGCCGTCCTGGCTCAGCCACAGTGTTCGTCTCACAAATGTCACGGGCAGAAGCCACGAGCTGCCCAGAGAAGCTGGTCTAGACAGAGAAGCACGCGAGGCTGGTGGAACTTTCCGGAAGGCCACCGCCTGGGCTCTGGTTTCTGCAGTTCTCTTGGGTGGATGTGCCCACCCCAATTTTAAGATGGTACAAAATTGTGGGGTTTTATTTACTGCAAGAATGGGAAAAAAATTTTCATTTAGTTTGTGACTGTTTCAAGTTTTATGTCACTTTTTCCCCAGTAAATATAGATTTTTTTTATTGGTGCAAAATGACATTAATACCATTCTTTAACTGATTCGGATATTATACTATGTTAAGTAAAAGCTTTTCTAAGAGTTATTTTAAAAGCTACTTGCCTTTTACACACCATTCCTTATCACCTCTATCACATTTTACATAGAATAATGAAACACTTTTATCGATAGAACTGATATGAGTTCATAGAACTCTCTGGAAGGCATTTAGCAGCACACACCAAGGCTAGAAATCAGAAGCTGAACTCACGGACCCAGGACGCCCCTCACAGGAGTCCAGGGTGAGGAAAGAATCGGAAATGTGTGCGAAGTATTACCAACAGCGACAGGGCTGCTACAGGAACAACGTGGAAACCTCTGACCATTCAGGAGGCGCCTGTACTGGGCTTCCTGTGGCAGAGACAGGCCACCATGGGCCCCGCACGCCGGTGTCACATGCAGCCTGCGCTCCCAGGGTGGGGTCGGCCGGTCTGCTGCTGGCCAGGTGCCAGGCCCAGGCCCCCACTCCTAAGCTTCAGACCAAACCCCTTCAAGGGTGGCCATCGTCTGGGCCCATCCTGTCACCTGCGGGACTGGTCGGGGAAGGGCGCTCCCGGCTGAGGCCCCGCCGTCCAGCTCTGACCCCGCGCCTTGCTGCCTGCTCCGGCCCCTCCTGTGACAGGGTGGGCTACTTCCCCGCCAGATGCCGCTAACAAACTGCTCATGTACACACTGCAATGGCAAAGAGAAATGTGTGTTTAAAAAACCTACAAAGTGTTCCCAAAAATGATGGGGACTATCTCTTAAGCTTATTCTAAATCCTGAAATGGGAAACAAAGTTTTTCATCCATTCGTTACTCTTATAATATCCCAAAAGGACTGAAGGCGGGGAACACAGAGGAAGATGCAGAGAAAAAAGCCAGAGAGGAAACCGCACCCGAACGAACGTCCTGGTGGTGGCTCCTGGGCCCTCCCTCTACTTTGCATGTGACTGAAGTTTGCATAACGTTCTGGTTCTCTGAGCTGAGGGAAGAGTGTGCACGAAGCCCCAGCACCCCCAGCACGCGGCCTCAGGCGGCCCTATTCCCAGGCGATCACCATCAGCCCCCAGGACAGATCGAAGCCACTCAGAGGACACCTCTGGCGAGTGACCGGCCCGAGTGGGAAGGGGCAGCTCCCCGCGGCCACTTCCTGCTGAGACAGGCTGTAGGGTGGCCCGTCAGGGGCTGCCTAGCAACAGAGCACCCGAGGGAAGTGCCTTCCGAAAGAACAAACACACGTACAGACACGGAAGCCGAGTGGGGAGGAGATAAACTTGGTAGCTGTAAAGGGAGTTAAAAAAACACACAAAACCCACGCGTGGTTCTTTTTTGCTTCTTTGGTCGGCTGAGCCTCTTCTACAAACCTCTGCTTCAAGGCTCAGAACCAGCCCCGGGGAGTTGTGAATGGCCTACAGCAAACCACATCAACCAGACGTGGCAGCCGAGAGAGGCGAGTAACACTCAGCCCCCCTCCCACCCGGGACCCTCAAATCCTCACCCCTCATTTCACGCAACCCACACAGGAAACGAAGGGAACCACTGGCCGGGCCCACAGGCCAGGGCCGGGGCGTGACCCGGGAGAGCAGTGTGGGGCTCCTGAGCCGGTCTTCCACTCGGGCCTCTCCAGTTCAGGAGCTCTGAGGTGTGTGTGCACCGCACGTACGTGCACCCACTCATTCATTCTTGGGTCCTACCCTACAGGACCTACTTCATAAGGTATGGTTCCAACAGGGCCCCAGAATATAGAGCTTTTTTAAAACTCACTCAGTAGAAACTGCTTTCTCAAAAAACTCACCCAGGCCGCAGCCGGGTAGGTCAGTTGGTTGGAGTGTCATCCTGGACGCCAGAAAGGCTGTAGGTTCCTTTCCCGGCCAGGGCACAGACCTAGGTTCTGGGTTCAGTCTCTCGTTGGGCATGTACAGGAGGCAACTGATTGATGTTTCTTTCTCACATAGATGTTTCTCTCTCTCTAAAATAAATTTTAAAATATTTTTTAAATAATAAATAAAATAAAACTAGTTAACATCCCAGGTGAGGATTTTTAAAATATATATTTTTTTATTGATTTCAGAGAGGAAGGGAGAGGGGGAGAGAGAGAAACATCCATGATGAGAGAGAGTCATGGATCGGCTGCCTCCTGCACGCCCCACACTGGGGATCGAGCCCACAACCCGGCCATGCGCCCTGACCGGGAACTGAACCGTGACCTCCTGGTGCATAGGTCGATGCTCAACCACTGAGCCACGCTGGCAGGGCCCAGGTGAGGATTAAAAACAAACCTCACCCAGGTGTCTGCAGTTCAGTCAGGTCTGGGAGCCCCAGCTGACTGGCTGACAGACTTGCGGCAGGAGCTAAGCAAACCACTGCTGTGGTCCATCGGCCAGGACTTGACTCCTCCGCGGACAAAGGCCCCCTGGCACTGGGCATCACGGTCCCTTCAGGAACGTGCATGGGAAGAGCCCTCCTTTTAACACTGTTTCAACCCTGGTCTCCCAGCCCAACAGCTCTGAGCGCTTTCAGTTGAACAGGGAATGCACTGGCACTTTGGCAAACACAAACCCACTACAACAGGTCTGAAGATTTTTAAACAGAAGTAAAACGTAATTCTACACAGTTGGGTAGCTTGGTTGGTTAGAGCGCCATCCCAGTATGCCAAGGTGTGGGTTCGATTCCTGGTCAGGACACACACAAGAATCAACCAACGAATACATGAATAAGTGGAACAAATTGATGTTTACCTCTCTCCTTCCCTTCAAAATTCAGTAATTTTTTTAAAAAGTAATTCTACACAGATATCAAATGTCTGATGACATCACTTCTTGAAATCAACATTCACCCTAAACATCACCATCACACAGCCACCATTAGCATTTTTACCGACTGTCAAGAACCGCCTCTCTGCGTCATCCTCACTCCTGTAAATCCAGCCGCTGCCCTGCCCTCTCCCTTCCCCTCCCCATGCCCTCC